ACCCCTTTGGCCCCTCCCACAAGTGGTGAGCCCATGGGAAGGGGGACCCACGTCTCCTCTTCGGGCTGTGCCCGGCCCAGCTCCATGGGTAAAAGCCCGGCCACTAGGCGCTCGCCCGCGTGCCCCACCTCCAGGCCTGGCTCCAGACTGGTGCCCCGGTGACCCACGTCCGGGCAAGGGAACATTAGGTCCATTTATTTGTCTCATCATAGGGGTCTTTGGGCTGCACTTTGTCTGGTCCCTCACCTAGGACTTGTCTGCCAATGGTGACCCTACTAGGGGCATAAAGTCCCTGACAGCATAGCTCCTAGGATCATTGGGACACTCAAACCCCTCCACCACGGTAAGGTGGCAGCCCAGGGAATTGAATTGTCAACATTGAGGGCTAAACACCCCTAAAGGTCAGATCCTAGAATCGCCCCTGTCTAAGCTCTTTTACTAGAACATGCTAAGCACTATCTTCTTCATGCTGGTGTAGACTGAAGAGCTGCTACAGGACGAGAAGTCCCTAAAGCTTGTCTAGGTTAGCAAAAGCAAGCAGAGACTAAACTTACTGATGATTGCGGAGGCTTTTTTAACTGGAAATGTGCCTTACAGGGTTTGAAATGGTGCAGGAGGTGGATCAACACATTCTCTAAGGTGTCACAAATCTGAGTGGATTAAAAATCTAAAGTTTATTTACAAATATTAATAAAGATGGAAATTAAATATGTTACATAAGTAGACAAGAAAAAACTTCCATAAGTGTTTTCAACAGTTTTGTCAGACAGTGGTTTACAGAAAAGGTCAGTGGGTTACCTTAATTAGCAGCTGTGATTTATTTCATGAGAGACAAGCAGATCTGTGACAGATTTCACTGACAGAGACTCTGTTTGCCTGATGGCATCACCTCAGCAAAGGTCACCGAGTGTCAGCGTCATCGTCTGTCAGGCAGAAAATACCCTCTTAGAAGGACATCACACTGGTAAGGGCTCATCTGAAGTAAAGACGGGCGACTCAATATGTTCATGTAAAAATAACCATATATACATACATATATACATGTATGTGTGTGTGTGTGTGTACAGAGAGAGAGAGAGATTACAATAGCTGCTCAGTTTGTTGTGTTTGTCTCCCTTGACAGTCTTGTTTTTCTTTCATCATATATTTTTGTTAATTTAACTTTAAAGTATACATTTTGTCTAGCTTTGTGTTTAAACTTAATTTCCTTTCCTTCTGTCTTTGTGTGGATATGTTTGGCCCAGTGGTGCAGAGTTTGCGGTGAGTGCATCACAGGGTGGTATGGGAACTGCACCAGTCAGAGTCAGAAAGCTCTACAGAGAGTGGTGAAAACAGCAGAGGACATCACTGGTAGCAGTCTCCACACCATCCAGGACATCTACCACAGACAATGTCTGCGTAAAGCATGCAGCATCATTAAAGACCACACCCACCCAGCACAAGTTCTCTTCCATCTACTACCCTCAGGCAGACGATTCATGAGTCTGCCATCGCGTACAAAAACACTCAAAGGCAGTTATTATCCACAAGCTGTCAGATTACTGAACTATTGATAATAACATTGCACCAAGCCACATCTGCAACAACTAATATGTTTATTGCAGCTGCATTATGTGGCTGTATCATGTATGTCACTACTTACCATCATAATTCATCTCAATGTCACGCAACCTGTGTAGTATTTATCATGTGCATTTAAGATAATATCATCCATCCATCATTATCTTTACTTGCTTCTTTCTTTCCAGGTCACTGGTGCCTATGTCCAGCTATCACTGCGAGAGGCAGGGGACACCCTGGACAGGTTTCCAGTCCACCACAGGGACACATAGAGACAAACGAGACAATTCAATTCAGTTTATTTATATTTCACCAAGTCACAACAGAAATCATCTCAGAGCACTGAACAGAATATCCATATACTGTATATAAGAAGTAATTTAACACTATTTATCTGAGGAGCAGACTGCTTTGAGTTTAACTTCATCTCAGACTCTCATAAGAGGACAAACAACCATTCACTCTCTCACTCACACCCAGAGACAATTTAGAGTTACCCATCAGTCTAACATGCATGTTTTTGGTCTGTGGGAGGAAACTGGAGTACCTGGAGAAAACCCACACATGCACGGAGAGAACATGCAAACTCCACCCAGAAAGGCCTCCAGTCGGGATTTGAACTGGTGACCTGCTTGCTGAGAGGCAGCAGCTATACCAACTTCACCACCGTGCTGCCCAAGTTTATGTTACCACCTGTGAAATAATTGTTTGTACTAATTTGTCCTTCTTCCAACATTATATTCTACCATGTTGTTGTTTATTATATTTCTTTTGGACCTTGTAAATAATATATTTCTTTTTCGCTTTGTGGTACTTTATTTTGTACTTTTATTGCATGCTTTAGAATTTCTTGTTTTTTGTAGTCGAATCGGTTCTTCTCATCCTGAACATTTCACTGCATTGTTGTTGACCTTGTGTTAACCTGCATATGACAAATAAACAATAAAGTAACTGAAGTTGTTGATCTCGGCAGCACGGTGGCGCAACTGGTAGAGCTGCTGCCTCTCAGCGAGCAGGTCCCTGGTTCAAACCCCGGTCCAGGGGCCTTCTGGGTGGAGTTTGCATGTTCTCTCCGTGCATGCGTGGGTTTTCTCCGGGTACTCCGGTTTCCTCCCACAGTCCAAAAACATGCATGTTAGGCTGATTGGTAACTCTAAATTGTCCCTAGGTGTGAGTGAGAGAGCGAATGGTTGTTTGTCTCGTTTGTCTCTGTGTGGCCCTGTGATGGACTTGCGACCCGTCCAGGGTGTACCCCGCCCCTCGCACAGTGATTGCTGGACATGGGCACCAGCGACCCCCGTGACCCAAAATGGAATAAGCGGGTAAAGAAAATGGATGGATGGATGGATGGAAGTTGTTGATCTCTTTCCACGTGCAGCAAACAGCCCAGCAGAAAAAAACTAATTGTGCAAATTATGAGACTTTTTAATTTAAGAGCTCATTCAGCTTATCCTTTGCACCACACAATATTCACTGTAAAAAAAAAAGTAACTAAGTAACTTTTACTGACTGAAACTTTTTGCTGCTGCACAACTGAGCATGTCATGCAGTTTAAAGCTGGGAACGTCACACTCTGCAGTTTCTGAACTGAGAAAGATGAGAAACGTCTCCAGCTATAAAGAAATAAATCCATTCATTCTGTTTTATTTGTTCATTTTAAGTTTTTGGACAAAAAGAAAACTGAAGTGTTTTAACACATCGGTGAGTTTGTCAAGGACACAAATGCTGACTGATGCCAGGAGCTCAAAGATTAAACTGTATTTTAACATGGAGGACTGGGAAACAGAAACAAGACCAAGAATCCTAAATAAACATAACGATGAAGTAAAGACAAATGGATAAATATCTAAACTGACAGAAGTCAAAAGACAGAAACATAAAACTAAAAGCAACACAAGAGCTCAAAGAACTGAATGAATAAATAAATAAACAGAAAAGTAGATTATAAATGAAACTCATTGTAAAGAAAAGAAGAAAAGGATTTTTGAACAATTCGTGGTTACTATGGCAACAAAATATAGTTCATGGATGGATGAATAAACTTTTATTTTCATTGAATGCTCAGCAACAATAAAATTAGGAGTGCAGCTCCTTCCGGTGCTGAAACGACCAACAATAAATAAAAACACATAAAACAACATTGTCCAACAGTTAACAGACAATGTGCCTTAAAACACTAATTCTAATACAGTGTCTAAATTAAACAAACATGTTTCATTTTGCAAAACATCTGCTGTTTTCTGCTGATGTGTTTGTGTGCCATGTTCAGACAAAAAAACGCCATGGTTTTATAACTGTTTGTAAGAAACTGTAACGTTTGGTCGTTATATATATATATATATATATATATATATATATATATATATATATAT